TTGGTTTTCTTTTTATTTAAATAGAAACCCCATTGGATTGAATTATTGAACAGTTGTATCAAACAGAAACAAATCATGAACCTCTCTGGTCACAATTCACAAAAGCATGAATTCCTGACAAGGGAAGCAGTGATTCAACAACCCGGTGCTAGTTCTAAGTGACTGATTTCCTGATTTAGAAAAAAACTTTCTACAGTCTTTTCAAACTCTAGAGTTAGTCATTTGGGTGGAGGGGGTTCAGTTGTTTCCACAAGCATACTCTATCTACTGTAAAAGGAATTTTTTCCAAGTTTTATGAATTGGGCAACTACTAAAGAAAAGCTTCTCTAAGCCCACTGTAATTCTAGAAGAAGATGTGAAACCCAATTTGTGAGTTATTTTAGTTACATCAAGGAATTCTTCCTCCTTCCTCTTTCTAAAGGCCAAGCTTGCATTGCATTGGGCAGATCACAGCCAAGTTAAATGCAGAGAGTAAGAGAACTATATCCTACAAAATGCATGCTATTACTTTTTTGCTTAAATCTTAAAAATACTTGGTGGATGAAATTCAACCCTGTGTCGCATCGATTCATCTACAAAAACCTATCTCCTATGAGTGAATTTTCAAAGAAGGTGGGGTATGGGTGTTAACTAGATTTCATTTCTAATGTCAGAGTAAGTTCACATGATGTGAGGGGCCTTATTAAAATCAACACCCTTTTGGAAAATAAGTGCATTGGAAATTGAAGATACTCTTCCCCATTGTGTCATTGGTCGCTGTAAATGCGATTACCCAAAGTTGGTCCCAGCTATCTCAGGTCTCAGGAGGAATAGACTGAATATAATCCTAACCTTTGGCATTTTTTTGTACAAGGTATTCGCTCTCAGACTGAACCTGCATTTTCATGTTTGTCAGCTCAAGTTTTTATTATTTGTAATTTCTTTTTGTTGTAATTGTAGGACCACCACAGCCAAATTCATCAATTATACTATTTCAATATGGTTGAAAATACAAGACAAATTAAAAAAAAAAAAAGCTTCCCAAGTCAATAGTTGACATCATGCAATTAAAGCAATGACAAGGCAACCATGCTTATCCAACAACTTGTTGATCTAATCCTCTGATTAACTTAACAAAATCATTAAACCATCCAAAATTTTTTCCCTCTACTGTGAATTGAGAACCTTGAATCAATTTCCTCTAGAGTTCTCCCTATTTGGTCTGAGTCTTAATCCATAAGAGGTATTTTTTGAATATTCAAATTTTATTTGGAATCTTGGCTTGGAGATGTATTACTTGAAAAATAGAAAGGAAACAAAAAGGAAAATGACTTTCAGTTCATGTGAGGCAAGATTCCTTTACAGGAATCTGTCTCCATCTATGTTGTAATCCTCTCCCTCTCAGCATCTCTTAATTAAACAATATATATTTTGGTGTTTACAATAAATAATGGATCTTTGTAGGTATTATTAGTATTGATGACTGCAGATGATGTAGTTGGTTTTTAGTCAGCTAAAATTAAGCAAAAATAAATAAATAAAACAAGTAAGAAGCAGTTGTTTTTTTTTTTTCTTCTTTATGGATCATGTAGCAAAGAGAGTCAAATGATGGGATTCCGCATGTTCTTTACATCACTCCTACCTCATATTCTCAAGTGAACAGCCTCAACAACAGAAAGAAGGCCTTTTTTAGTGGGCATTTCTTAGGGTAGAAACACCACCACAAAGGCGTTTAGAGTTTAATGGTCAACTATCTGTTTGGTTGGAGGCATTTTGAGTTAAAACGGTCATAAAACATTTTGCATGGAAATCCCCGTTAAGACTCAGTTTGGAAGGAGTACAAATGCAAATATATACAGCGTAAATACATACAAAATATAAGGTTTTGCACTCTACATATTTGCATTTGTACTCCTTCCAAACTCAGCCTAAGGGAAGAAAAACCACTTTGCTGTTTCTTGCTCTGGGAAGCTAAATCTCAACACACCCTGGCTGATGTGGCGCTTACATAGATGAAAATCACACATTTTTCACCAAATAAGATTCAGGTACAAAAAGCAATTTTTGTGTTTCAAGTATATACAGTGTTTCAACTCAAAGCTTTGCAGATTAAAACACCAGTAATACCAAACACAACTTTATTGACAAATAGGATTGCTTATTTACTAAAACACTCTTACCCAATACCCATGTGCAAAGATAAAACTATATCTATGTATTATTAATGCATAGCTAGGAGGACAGAAAGCTGCTCTAACCCACAATAATATGATTATTAAAGGGTTGAGTATCAAATGGATGGTTTGGATTGGGCCACATCATCCCTTTGGGTGGCGGATGGTTGAAGTTATTATTAAACTCATAAAGAAATTATTTATTTATTTTTCAATTAAATAACAACAAAGTACTTAGGGGATTACAGCCTTAGGTTTGAAAATTGAAGCAAAAGAGAGAATCGAAACCGTGCCATTGACCTTAACAATAGATTAATTGAATAAACAGAGCAATTTGACCTAAATAATTAATGAATGCTTGTGTGACCAATTGCGTATTGATCTCATCTCTCATTCATGATTCTGCTCTGATTTATAAAATGTATATTTCAAATACAACTGCATCAAGTGACAATGAATGAAGATTAACTAAACAACATCAAGAGTTGGGGCATCATCCTCTCAACATAAAATAAAGTCCCACTTGTGATTCTAAATTCCAAACCTAGAAAACGGCCCGTATGAGACATAAGAAAGCAAGCTAAGCTAACTTTGTTAAATTATTATTTCATGTTTCTCAAGGGACATGCTTGATTAAGGAAATGTCATATATGGTTGTAATTTTAGATTAAATTAAGCTAATAATTGGGTTAATTCATCGACTTAAGGCTCGATAACCGATACATGGAGCGACGTCGAATCTACATCCGGTTTTATTAATTTGATTATTAACAATATATTTTAGTATTTTTTATTATTAATTATACCACATTACCGCTTAATTAGTTGAGCTGATTGCTTTATCACCTAAATTCAGATAAAATAAGTGAATATTAAAATAAAAATTAACAACCCTAGATGACAGAGGGAGAGTATGCTAATGTCATCTATTTATTGAAGTTATTTTTATATAGATTTATTTATTGTAGAATGTAGAAATAATAAACCCAAAGTACAAAGAGAATGCAATTGCCATTTATTTATTTATAATAGTTTGAATCTGATCAGTGATCACAGATTCACAGTTGCGGTTTTGGGCTTCCATTGCTCGTCATGTGTTAGCTTAATCGGATGATTATGACCAACCATTGGACGGGACCCATGCCCACACCTAGAATTGCAGGGTAGACCATTTTTAACCGTCGGATTCAGGGTTAATAGAACTTTTTCCACTGTCTAGATATTAAGAAACCAAGGGTTGTGATCATGTGTCAAGCTGATTTTTGGCTGGCAATTTTGGGTGGGGCCTAGACCATGGTCCAAGCTTCTATCTTGGCCCACATGTAAGTGTTCTAGTACCACTCACCAATCAATGGATCTCTCATAAGCAAACCCATCAACTCCTTATAATGTTAAGAAGTCAAAGTCCATGCATTTAACGGCCATGATCTTATGATCACTTACAAGTGCAAGATATCTTGAGATTTGATGGTAGATTGGTAGGTCCCATTGACCACAACTCCACAAGCAAGAAAGATTAGGGAGGACTGAATCTTCACGTCCTCACAGCTACAGAGGTACACATCCCAAGGCTTGAAAATGGCAGATACTTGCATCAGATGGCCAGTATTTTTTTATCATTATTTAGATTTTTTAGTATTTTAATTAATAAAATATAATTGCATGAAACTAAAAATGAGGAAAAGGCCAAAAAGGAATAAAAAGAGGAAGAGGAGTATTTATTCGGTGTAAAGCGAAATACGTCGAATCTCGGATCGGAGGAGATGATGTGTGGCCAGAGATTCAGCCAATCGGACAACCGGAGACTGGCCGATTTTTTGCGGAAAAATACAGAAAGAAAAATTTTCTTATCTGAAAGCCGCTACACCGGTTGTCGTAGCTTTGGGCCGAAACTGTGGAATCATGGCCTTTGATGTATTGTACGGCCCCACCTTTAACCTCACATCATCTAATTCAAGGTGGGACCACAACAACAAGACATCGAGGGCCGTGATTCCTACGCCAGTGGCGTAGCAGAATTTTCTCGTCCTATGATGACCTCAAGTTCCAAGGCTGCAGTGGGTCCCATTCATTTAGGACCCGCGGAAACCGCTGCCCGCTGGAGCTATTATGATTTCATGGACTCTACGTTCTAGGTTGTACTGGTTGCGGGATTTGATTCTACGTGAACGTTGAAACGAATCAATTAACACACCAACAAATCAGCGCTCAGTTGATTCTTGTATTACAATAAGTGAGAATTCCTCCCTATTTTCTAGGGTATATTCTTCACTTGGGCAGGGTTTGGTGGTTAAAATTGCTAAAATGAATTTCATTTCCTAGGGTAATCAACATGGTTCAAAAAAATGTTTCAGGATGAGAGAGGGTAGAGATGGAATAAATTTCAGCTTTTCTCGATCTATATATTGATGTAACGTGATTATAGTAATATTTCCAGTTTTCTTTAAAACCTTGAATATGAGTCTATAACCATATCTGAATCACAAGAACAACAAGAACAAGAACATGATCTTTTCATTGCTTATCATTCTTTATTCTTGTTCAATCAAGAACTTAAACTTATTCTTTGATACATAGCTTACAACTTATAAAAAATTTCTCCAAAAATTTGAGAATATATGTAATAGAAGGTAGCCGGTAAATCCGGCCGGCCATTGCATATTAAACTGTGACTGTTGTTAATGTTAGAGAAAGAGATTCTTCACCGGCTATGGCTAATAGGCTGTACCTACCTTTCTAACCGGCGACCTTTTACGTAAATTTTTAAGATTAATTATTTAATTTAATTATAATATTTTTTCAATGTTTTCAACTCCAAAGCACAGTATAAAAGCTACTCATCTCGCTTCCTTCCTTCACGTCTTATTAAGAACAAAGACACGATCCCAAGAGAAGTCTCGCTGTGTTCCTGGTTTTGTGTTCGATATGTCGCTGCTTTCTGATCTTGTCAACATGAACCTCTCCGACTCGACGGAGAAGGTCATTGCAGAATACATATGGTGAGCTTTTCTTTTTCCCTCTGTTTTGTCTTTCTGGGTTTATGCTCCTCTGCTTTTGATTAGATTGTTGTGTTTGTGGGTTCTTTTATCTTGGATTCTTGGTTATTGAATGGTTTTCTAAATTCTGTTTGATGGGTTTCTTCTTCTTTTTTCTTTTTTTCATTTCTTGAGGTAGTTTTACCATTTCCATGGATCTGTTTCTTCAATGCTATTTTTGTTTGGGATTCTTGTCACTATTCTTGACTTCTGTTTCTTCAATCCAGTTCTTCTTCTTCTTCTTCTTCTTCTTCTTCTTCTTCTTTTTCAATTGGCCGAAGTCTTCATTAACCCATGATTTAATTTTCTTTCATTTTTAATTTTGTTTTATGGGTGTTTCATTTTATCTTTTCCCAACGTTGTTTATCCAAGAAAACAATCTTTCTTTCCCCAATGCTAGTCTTTCCTCAATGTTCATTTTGATTATTCAACAGGGTTGGTGGATCTGGATTGGATATGAGAAGTAAAGCAAGGGTAACTACTTCTTTTCTCTGTTATTTGGTTCTTTTTGCTTGTTTCTTGGTGATTTATCAATCTCTTTTTCTGACATATTTGGCTGTTGGGTTGTTTTAGACGCTTTCTGGACCAGTTAGTGATCCCAGCAAGCTTCCTAAATGGAACTATGATGGTTCAAGCACAGGTCAGGCTCCCGGTGAAGATAGTGAAGTTATCTTATAGTAAGTTTTCTTTCTTTGTCCTTTTTGTGTTTGTTCTTTTGTTTTTTGTTCTGCTGCTATGAGAGGTATATTGCCTTTTCTTTTTTCCTGTTATCTTTTCCTAATGAGGGCTTTCTTTTTTGTGATGTTTTAAAACAGTCCTCAGGCCATCTTCAGGGACCCATTTAGAAGAGGCAACAATATTCTTGTAAGCGCTTTCAGTTAATTCACATGAGCTATAATTCCTCGCTTCTGTTAATTTTCCTAATTTTCTCTGTTAATCGGTATTCTAAACATATAATTCATTCAGGTCATGTGTGATACTTACACTCCTTCTGGTGAGCCAATTCCCACCAACAAGAGATGCAATGCTGCAAAGATATTCAACCATCCTGATGTTCTTGCTGAAGAACTCTGGTATTTTTGTCTTTTTAAAGTTTATGACTCGCAGATATTCAAGTTGTCTTTGTTGCCTTTTTTGAAGTTTTTGATCTATTCTGTTATAGTGTTATTTGGTTCTTTACAAATTTTGGGTTCCTCTTGTGTTTTTCCCAACTCACTTGATGCCAAAAACAGGTTTGGTATAGAGCAAGAGTACACGCTTTTGCAAAAAGATGTTAAATGGCCTGTTGGGTGGCCTGTAGGAGGTTTCCCTGGTCCACAGGTAATGAAATTTTGCACCAATTCCAGTTTCAATTTCTTGGGCTTCTTTTTCTAATTTTCTTTGTCTAGTTAGATTATTTAGGTCTAGGATTTGAATTAATTTCCTTTTTTAATGGTATTTTCTAGGTAATTGTTCTAAGTCTTAAAAGATTCTGGATTTACTTGAACTAATCACTTAAAATTCTAACTTTAGGAAGCTCAGTAAGGAAACATTGAATCAATTGTTTGTCTTCTCCAATTTCTAGCAATACTGGGATACAATTTTAACCTAACAGGGATAATAGGAATGATTTCATTTATTTAATATGATGCTTAGTGAACCTCTTAGCTTTTGATGCTTCTACCTTATCTTGTCTTCCACATTAGACTTAACTTGCCTATTACTGGAACGAGTTCAAGGCTTCTTCTGAGTAGTTGCTGGTTCCTTCTCCTTATATCTTCTTCTTCTTCATGCATGTATGATAGAAATTTGAAGCTAGCTCTGGACATGTTTCTAATTGAAAATGCCAATTTACTGAAAACAGGGACCATACTACTGCGGTGTTGGTGCTGACAAAGCATGGGGGCGAGACATTGTTGATTCTCATTACAAAGCATGCCTTTATGCAGGCATCAACATCAGTGGAATCAATGGAGAAGTGATGCCAGGACAGGCAAGAACAATATTCTCTGTTTCCTTATTTCTCTGTTTGGTTAAATTGGCATGTCAAATTTTATTTTCTTTTTGTACTTTCCTCACATTTCATCGTGCTTAATTTTGTTCAGTGGGAATTTCAAGTTGGCCCATCTGTTGGCATCTCTGCTGGGGATGAACTGTGGATTGCTCGTTACATTCTGGAGGTAATTTCTCTTAATTACGATCTGGAAAGATTTCTTTTTCTTAATGGATATGATTTATTTTCAGTTCTCTGAAATGCATAGAATTGGATTATTCTATGCTGTTCTTTCTATTTGAAAAAAGCCTATTTGAAACATGGGGTTTTGTGATGGAAGAATTCTTGAATAGTATTTTCTTTTGAACCTTCACAGAGGATTACAGAAATTGCTGGCGTTGTACTCTCCTTTGATCCCAAGCCCATCCAGGTAAGTCTTAATTTCATCCTCATCCACACCAAGTTTTCCAACATTTGAGCTTCATCCTAGTTTCCTGCAAAGTAGAATACAAAGGATATCTTTGTTCTTTCTTAGGGTGACTGGAATGGAGCTGGTGCTCACACAAACTACAGGTAACATGTCTGAATTTATTGAGAGGTTACCCTCATCTGTTTTGTTTCTTTGTTCCCAGTTCTGCAAATAATATGTAAACTCTCTTTTCTTCACCATATCTGATGAACTCTGTTATGGGGATTTCAGCACCAAATCCATGAGAAGTGAAGGAGGGTATGAGGTCATCAAAAAGGCAATTGAAAAGCTTGGGCTCAGGCACAAGGAACATATTTCTGCCTATGGAGAAGGCAATGAACGCCGTCTCACTGGACGCCATGAAACAGCTGATATCAATACCTTTGTTTGGGTAATAAACACTTGCTTCCCTCTCTAGATTGGAGCTAATACTCCTCACAGATTCTAATTCTGAAGATGGGTGTCCTTATTTTCCTTCATTATTTTTACAGGGTGTTGCAAACCGTGGGGCTTCCATTCGAGTGGGCAGAGACACAGAGAGAGCTGGCAAGGGTTATTTCGAAGATAGGAGGCCTGCTTCCAACATGGATCCTTATGTGGTTACTTCCATGATTGCAGAGACTACCATTCTGTGGAAACCATGAGAAACACAAAAAGGCCCATCTTCTGGTTGGTGTTCATTGTGGGACCTTGTCATGTTTTACTTCTGGTTTTGAGGTCGACGGTTGAATGTACTAATTGCTTCCTGCCTTTTGATTTTGCCTCTTGTGTAGTTTGTTTGATAACAGCAAAATAATATCATCATTCATCAATAATATGAAAGGGCTGATTCCCGCTGATGTCATACAAGGAAATGTCTCATGTTTTTATATTTTGCATATTTTTTTTCTGCCTAGTGCTTAAACTCGGGCCAGGTTGGTTTGGGCTGATGTCAACCCTAGCCCAATCCGATGTATCAAAATCTCAACGTTTCTCAATCCGATCCGTTTTTTTAACCCCAATGAATCAAAAAATAAATAAATAATAAATAATGAAAAATTAAAAACCCGAGACTAACCCGATGATGGTTGGGTGGCCGGTTGGAACTTTGTCTACCAAATTTTCATGCATAAATACAAGAATATCATATTCACGTAAGACACATATTACATGTGAAACTTTGGTTTGGTTGGATTGAGAATTTTCAATGGGTTTGGATTGATCAAGTTTAGGGGTGCAACTTTGGTCAGGTTGGATTGAGAATTTGTGAATATTTCTTTTTTCAATAGACCAGAACCTTAACTAAGCTCAATGTAGTTGAAATTCTTTAAGTTGCCTAAGGCATCAACCCTCTCATCCAACTCAAACTTAAACTGGATTGGCATTTTCCACTCTGGCTAGCAAGGCTGGCTGAGTTTGGAAAGAGTAAAAATGTAAATATGTAGAGTGTAAAACCTTATATTTTGTATTAATTTATATGTATTTATGCTGTACATATTTGCATTTATACTGCTTCCAAGCTGAGCCCAAAGAATCAGAATTAACCTGATTTAAATTCAAATACAATAAAGTCAGATTCAGATATCATTTTAGACATAATTGGATCTGAAATTATATTTTATTTATTAATTAGAAATATGGGTATGAATTTATTGTATTTTAATCAAATTGAATTCAAAGAATCTCCTACCCACAAGAACCCTACCCACACCTCACTACAGCTGTACATTGGGCTGTGTTTGGTTGCAAAGCAAATAAATTTGCACTGATGCAAAATTATGATTGTATAAATTATTTGAACGTAAAATCTGTATATTGGCCGAATATTGGATCAATGTATGTATATTGGGTTCTTATCGAATTGAATTTGAATATACCTTTATTTGAATTTGGCCCAATCTAATTACAGTCCTATTTTCCACCCCAACCCCGACCAATCTTTCAACCCAACCATAGTTGCAACCACCTTAAAATAATAAATTAATCTTTTCTGGTAATGAATCTAGGAAATTAAGGGGAATGTGAAAATTCTCATGCCGTTTATACTTTGAAGGAGTTTTGTTCTATATGCATGGCAGAATATGGTGTCTAACTACCATTCTTGGTTGTCTGGATCTCAAGCTGTCAGCTGCATGCAGAAGCAAATATTTGCACTAGAAGGAAGCTTCCCCACCTAAGGATTCATAGAATTTAGTAATTGCATGAAGTTAAACAGCTCTTCTATCTCATCCTGCTGCATTAATTGTTCTTGGAAATACAGTTCTGATTTGTTACTTGATATATACTGACTACTGTACACATTCTATTGTGTTCTTTGTGGTGAAAATAAGAGACTTTGCTTTCTGAATTGCCATCTTCATTGGATGGCGCCTGAACATGTTGAATTTGTTATCTGTTGCACCAATTTGGGTCCATCCCCAACACAAGAATCCATCTGCTTCTGACATGAACTAACTAGCTACCTTGTAGCCGTATTGGATGCCCCATGGTCTCCTTCCTGGGTCTCTGGTCACTTTGGCCACTTAGCCTGCAAGTTCACGAGGCATTTACCGGTCATTATTAGGATTTTGGATAATAAGCAAAACTTAAAAGCATTTTCTCATAAGAAAATGTGAATAGGGACCAAACAAACCTTTTCTCTGTTAAGGGTATGACAAACTTCTTAGTTGGCAAGAAGCAATCTAAAAATTCAGATTCTAGGAGGAGGTTGCACCAAATAGATCACTTCCATATCCTTTTAGCTTAGGTGGTGTTTCATTGCACTTTTCAGATGTCTTAGATCTGAAAACGTTGCTTTTCAGACGCCACTTTCGTTTGGTATGCCCTCTTATTACTAGATCAGAAATCCAATTTCAAATCTTAATTCCTAAGAGGTGGAGTGGGTCCTTAATGCGGTCAGATGTAATTCAAAGATGTGTAAAAGACATAAGTGTCATCAAAGAAATTTAAATATGATATGGTTTGTCTTTCATATAAGCTCAAAAATTAGGTCATTCGAACCCTCATTGCGACCTGAACGAAACTTCACCGCCGTCAAGCTCTCTCATAGGTATGGTTTTGATTTGTAGATCTCTCTCTCTCTCCCCTTGTCTTCCCGCCAAGTGCAGCGGTGGCGATTCTCTCTCTCTCTCTCTCTCTCTCTCTCTCCCTCCCTCCCTTTCTCCCTCTCCCCTATCTTCCCGCTATTGCCACCACCGCTACAACTTGCAGCGGCTGTTCGGTGAGTTATAAATTATTTTTACTAATTATTCATTGTTAATTATTTTAATATTTTTATTAATTTTACTTATGCTATTTATTATTTATTAATTATTTTTATTAACTGGTAATTTTTAATTATTTCGTTAATTTTTAAAAATTATTTTAATTTTTATTTGTGTAAATTATTGATTATTTAATATTTTTATAGTCATTAATTATTTTTTAATTTTACTCGTTTCATTTATTAATTAATAATTAGTAATTTTTAATTTTTAATTTATTATTTATTATTTGTATTGTTTCAATATTATTTTGAGGTTGAAAATTATTTTTTATGAGATAATGCAAATTGAACTCAACATTTCCAAATAGTATGTTCTAGGGGTAAAATAGTAAAATCAATGAATTTAAGATGGTAAAGGGTTGATCGAACACAAACAAACTTATGGATTCAAAGCCTCTAAAAAGTAGAAAAGTACCTATGCTTCCTTTCAGATTTCAGACAATATCTTTTGGGAAAATTCTTGATTAGTACCCTGTACTTTGGGCCTAGTGCCACTTTGGTTCCCAAACTTTAAAACGCGGCAATCCAGTATCCAAACTTTCAAAATGTGTCAATCCAGTATGATAACTTTGCATTTTGATGCCTTAAGGGCATCAATTCAGGGGTATTTTCGACCTTAGAGTAGTTAAATTGTGTCATTTTCCCAGTTAATTTCAATGTTGTGACCTCTGAGGGTCCCTGTGCAAAACTGGGAACTTTTCATGGCTGAAATGCAGATTTTGGGAAGCTGGTGTGAAGTTCAACTGAGAGAGGGGGTGTTTTTTGTGAAAAACTAAAAGCAGGAGGGTGCCTCCTAACCGCTAAACCCAGTTTGAAGCTCCTCCTACTGTATTAGCATGCTCCCCATGCCTAGCAAACCCTAGGGCGCCTTTTAACCCATTCTTTTCACTCTTAGCAAATCCTAGCCGCCCCTAGGTGTTTAATCTCCACCTTCCACCTCTTTTAATCTCAACCACTCATTTTAGGGTTCTCCTTTATAGATTTTAAACCTTAGGACACCACCTATTTTGCTAATCCTGGCCATTCAGCTCCCCACTATTAAAAATCTCAGCCACTCCCTCCATCTTATATCCCAACCATCCATTCTAGGGCACTCTCTTATTAGCATTCTAACCCTAGGAGCCACCTAACTTTTAATCATCATCATTCAACTCCCCACCATTAAATCTCAGCCATTCCCTCCATCCTATATCCCGACCATTCAATCTGTGACGTCGTCTATTCTTTTAATCTTAACCCTTCAACTGTAGATGTTCTAATCTACATCCTCCATTTTTGGGTGCCCAAATCTCAGCCCTACATAATATTGGGCACCCTCTCCTTTTATTTTCAGCCATAGGATCACCTCAAAACCATCCTAATCATCCATTAGAAACCCTAGGGCGTCCCTAACTTTGCTAAATCCCAGCTGTCGCCCCCATCTTTTTCCCTATTTCCAGTCGTGTCCACCCTTCTCTATAAAAAGGGTCCTAGGGGCCCTATAGAAGGGGTTGGTCAATTCACCCAGTTAACAAGGCTAAGGTGTCTTGAGGAGTTCAAGGGTTGTAGAAGGGGAGGACGCCCAGATCTTGTCAGGAGGGGTTCCTACAAGCTGTTCAACCATTCTACAACTACCACCATTAGATCTGACCAACCATTCTTTTCTTCTCTTTATTTTTTTCTGTTATTTTTATTTCTGCAATCTTCTGGATTTAATTCTTGTTCGTTTCTCTGTTTTGCAGATCTGAATTCGTTTGGTTCAAGGCTAAGATGTCTCGAGGGGTTCGAGGGTTGTAGAAAGGACAAACGCCCGGTTCTTGTTAGGAGGGGTTTCTGCAAGTTGTCTGGCCGATCTGTAGCTACCGCCATCGGATCCAGATTCTAGATCATTTTTTTATTTCTTTTATTTCCTTTGTTGATTCCCATACTTTATTAAATTCTGATTTTTATTTATTGTCTTGTTTAAATTTGAAACATTTAATTTCAACAATAATAGATTTTATTTTCGTTTTTTCTGCCATTCCCGATTGCATTCTCTTGTTTGGATCTAAGTATAAATTAATTTTTCACTTGCTTCCCTATGGATACGACCCGTTTTCACCCATTTACTACGTTAGTAGTTGTTTGAGAAACGGTAAAAATTATAAATGTTTAAACTAGTGTTCTAGGGTGTTTAACGACACACTTCTGGACACACCACAGTACTTGTCATTAACCAATCGTTAAGTGATATTTGAAAAGACAAAAATTTCGTTTGAGTGTCATCTAATTTTCTTTATCAACCATCCACATGTTGATAAAAAATGAACAGTCTCAAATCCTTGCCTCTTCTGTTCAAGAAAGTTGGGGTTACGTCTCAATGGGCATTCTAGTGACCCCAACTTTCTTGAACAGAAGAGACAAGGATTTGAGATTGCTCATTTTTTGTCAATGTTTGAATGGTTGATAAAGAGAGTTAGATGACACTCGAAGGGTATTTGTGTCTTTTCAAATGACACTTAACGGCTGGTTAATAAGTTGGTTAATGATAGGTACTAGATTGGCACGTTTTGAAAGTTTAAGTACTAAATTGTCATATTTTAAAATTTGGGGACCAAAGTATCACTAGACCCAAAGTATAGGATACTAATA